ATAACGGGAGGACACAAACTAGTGTCCTCCCGTCACCCTAGGCTCAGTATACTGCGAGCTGTAGCTCGTGGTATACTGAGACGCCGCAGTATACTGCGAGCTGCTGTTCGCGGTATACTGAGATGCCGCAGCCGAAGCTGATCCCGACAATTGGGCCGGGACACGCCCAGCTGCGTGACTGACAGCTGGCTCTGCCTATCTAGAGGCAGAGCCAGCTGTACCTGCACCCTCCCCCGTCCGTTCCGCCAGTCAGCGCTGGCGGATCGGAGCGGGGAATCCAGCCCCTCCCCTGTCACGACAGAGAGCCGTGACAGGATCGAGAGGTGAGCGAACGCTGGTATGTGTTGGCTCACCTCCCGATCTACTGAGCCGACCTGTGACAGTCTCATTGTCACAGGTCAGCTAGAACTATGAGGTGAGTGAAAAGCACTCACCTCATAGTTCTCCTTTAATGGTAATCGAAATGAATAGATAAGTAATCACTACCATAATACCCCTAACAGGCAACTTTAACAGAAAACAGATGACCTAAAAGACAAACAGACATGACCCAAGTCAAACAAGGAAAAAAGAACTACAAAATTGCACAATATTGCCAAACAACCCCTGTAAGTGAGATAATACCATTCCAGCCGTATTGGTTTACCATTCCCATCATGTCATAAAAGATTGCATGTAAATTTTCTTAGCATTCTGGGAGAATAGGGTTTCACTGCACCTAGTGATAAACCGAAGGCCTCCTCAACATGATAGGATGTTGGAGGGAATCCAGTTATAGAACGGTTAATTCTCTCAAATTTATTTTAAATATAAAATCTTAAAGGTATTCAGTTAAAGAATTCAACTAATGGCAGTCAGAATTAATTGACAGCCACTCACTAATAAGGTGCACTAAAGTGCAGCTTTAGCAAGGATAACTTACATAAATAACAAACAAGACAGACAGTGAACAGAGAAAGAAAGAATCAAGCAGAAGAAAAATATAGCGGGAAGACTAGTGTAAAGATAAGTGGTTGAATTTGGTCTGGGTGGATTAAGGTTCAAAATCTATCTACTTTTCTCACATTATTATAGGGCTTGTATAGGCCAACCAAGGCTTCCAGGTATGCTTGAACTGTGCAACTTTATCCATAAGGATACTCGCTGGCTTTTCGTGAGTCATGATCCAAGACAGCTTAATCTTTACTTGCCTCAGTGACACCTTAGGTGTTTTCCAGTCCTTAGCAATGGTAATTTTAGCTGCCAGGAACATAAAAGTTATCAGTTGTGTGCAGTGCCTCGAGATTCTGGGGACGGCTTCATTAAGGAGGACATACCTAGGGTCCCTAGGAACGCGCACGCCCATAACCCGAACTATTAAATTAAAAATCTTTCCCCAAAATCCACGAACACGAGGACACGACCACCACACATGGTGAGCTCACATCCCCGAAAGCACAGGGGTGATGATCCTGGATACATGAGGGCAAGTCTAGAGGGCACCAGATACCACCTAGAGAAGACTTTAAAATTGGCCTCCAATAGTGAGACATTAAGCAGACCCCGGGTTGTCACCCTAGTGCGACAATTCCATATCTCTTCAGAAGCAACCATATTCAGGTCCTGTTCCCAAGATGACATATATGGCTGTTTAGGGGGAGACTCTAACAGTATGGAGTAGAGCAGAGAGATAGCCCCTCTCTGATTAGTAGTTACATAGTATTTGAGGATGAATAAAGACATGAGTCCATCAAGTCCAACCTATTGTTGATGTGTGCGTATGTATACAGGTGAAACTCGAATAATTAGAATATCGTGCAAAAGTAAACACATGCACATACACACATGTACATACACACATTCATACATACAAACACACCCTCACATACACACATAGGTCCTCGTATCAGTTCATTCATAGTTGTACCTGTACCCCTGTATGCTATGGTTTTTCAGGAAATCGTCTAATAGCTTCTTGAATGATTCCACATTCTTAGCTGAGATCACCGCCTCTGGCAGCGAGTTCCATACCCTAACCGCTCTAACTGTGAAGAACCCCCTTCGCCCCTTGTGCTGGAATTTCTTTTCCACCAATTTTAGATGGTGGCCTCTAGTATTTGTTACGAAGTTAATTGTAAAGAATTTGTTGCTAATGTTACTGTCACCATTTAACAATTTGTACATGCAAATGATGTCCCCCCCTAATCTCCTTACTTCTAACGTGAACATGTTTAAATTTAGTAGCCTTGTCTCATAGCTCTGGTCCTCCATTCCCCTAATTAGTTTGGTTGCCCTCCGCTGGACTCTTTCAAGCTCAAGGACGTCCTTTATGTGGACTGGTGACCAAAACTGGACCGCATACTCCAAATGAGGCCAAACCAGTGATCTATAAAGTGGCACAATTATGGACTTGTCTCTGCAATAAATACCCTTCTTAATACAGGACAGGACTCTACTTGCTATGTTTACAGCAGTCTGGCACGGTAAGCTATTAATCAATCTGTGATCTACAATGACCCCCAAATCTTTTTATATTTCTGACTTTCCTAGTGGCACACTTTGGGAATAAAAATAAGCAAATGGGCTATACAATCGTGGGATTGTATAGCCCATTTGCTTATTTTTTATTCCCAAAGTGCATTACTTTGCATTTGTTGACATTAAACCTCATCTGCCATATATTAGCCCACTCCCCTATTTTATCCAGGTCCTCCTGTAATGTTAAACTGTCTAGGTCCGTTTCTATTACCCTCCCGATTTTGGTATCATCAGCAAACACTGAAACATTGCTACTCACACCCTCCCTGATGTCGTTAATAAATAGGGTGAACAGCATGGGGCCCAGCACAGAACCCTGAGGCACACCGCTCATGACACTAGCCCATTCTGAAAAGCTACCATTTATAGATACTCTATCCATGTACACACCATCCCATCTATGCCCATGGATCACAGCTTGTATAACAAGCGTTTGTATGGTACCGTATCAGTAGTAGGCTGAAGGAAACAGCGTTCGTAAGGGCTGAGGCTACTGCCAGAGTCGCATATGAGTGATTTGATAATAGCGAAATAACTCTGACAAGAGCATGCCCAAATACTCCCTGCAATACTCCAAAGTCAGAGGTTTCCCCTTCTTGAGATATTAACCAATTCTGTATAAGCCCTTGTCCAGCCACCACTGAAATAGTTTGGGGTGCATACCAGGCTTAAATGCCGGATTCTGATACAGAGGAGCAAGGGGGGGTGTGGGGTGAGCTAATGTTTCCATAAGTTTTTACCCGATCCCAAAGGGCCAAATAATTAGAGAGAGTGGGGGCCATAATAGATGGGCGTAATCCAGAAGGCAGCCATTTCAATAAATCTAAAGGTAGATCTCTAGCCGCCTTGTATTCCATGAGGACCCAATCTGGGGGTTCCTCCACGGAATATATAGCAGATAACTGAGCAATACGTGCAGCCCGATAATACCGATGTATATTTGGGACCCGCAGCCCCCCCGACTCTCTAGTACTATAAAGCGTAATCCTCGGTAAACAATGACTTTTGCCTCCCCATATAAATTTCACTAGGCTAGATTGAAATGTGGCTTATTCGGATCTGGGGACGGGAATAGGGAGGGCCCTAAATAGATATAAAAGGCGAGGGAGTAGAGTCATTTTAATAGCATTTATTTTCCCAAGCCAGGAAAGGTTACACAAAGACCACCTTTCCAGGTCCCCCTTCAATTTCCTAAACATAGGAATTAAATTCGCCTGATACAAAAGATCAAAAGAGGGGGTGAGGTTAATCCCCAAAGAAGGCAGCTTTTAACGTGGTCACTTGCTCAGGGGGAAGATTTATATTCAGGGCAAGAGACTTAGCTGCATTTATATGAAGCCCAGATACCCACGTAAATCTATCAATGGATGACATTACGTTAGGCAGAGTAGTCAGTGGCTGCGGGAGAAACGGCAGTAAATCGTCTGCAAAAGGGCACATTTGTGTTCTCCAATCCACAGTGGACTCCTTTAATGTTAAGGTTTTCCCGTATAGAAATGGCAAGGGGCTCAATCGCTAGAGCGAATAGTAGGGGGGAGAGGGGGCAACCCTGTCTAGTACCTTTATGAATTGGGGCTGACTTAAATCCCTGCATTTTAATAGTAGCTGAGAGCAGGGAGTATAGATTCCGAAGCAAGCAAATAAACCCGGTGCCAAACCCCCACTCTTCTAGAAGCGTGAAGAGATAAGTCCAAGATATTGAGTCAAAGGCTTTTTGTAAATCAATAGATAACAATAAGCCAGTGGCATCTGAAGTTCCGGCCCATCCAGACTTTAACAAAGATATTATGTCGATTGCTCTGTGAATTTGATCCGGCCCCTGTCTCCCTTTAATGAACCCCACTTGATCTTTGTGAATATAGGTGGCCAAAAGCAAATTAATTCTGTTAGCTAAAACATTCGTAAGCAATTTCAGATCGTTATTAATCAAAGATATAGGTCTATAATTGGCTACTTCTCCTGGATCCTAATTGGGTTTAGCAATTAAGCAATTTGCGGACTCAGGGGGTCGCCCTTGCCAATGGCTGAAAAAAGAGATTCAAGATGGGGTAGAAGTATCTCTTCAAATGTCTTATAATATCCAGCTGAAAAGCCATCTGGTCCAGGGGCAGAGGATATTTTTGTCTGTTTAATAGCTTGTTTGATTTCAGATTGAGTGGCTGGTTCTTCCAGGAAGGCTATATGTTCAGGATAAAGATTAGGGAGTGCCACAGATCTTAGAAATTGCTGTATTAGCGGCTTAGAAGAAGCGTGAGTGTTAGCGTATAGTCGGGTATAAAAAGATTCAAATTCCTGAACTACCACTTTAGGATTATGTGAATATATCCCAGTCACACATCTTATTTTAGAGATAGAATAATTACACAATTTAGGAGATAATTTAACAGCTAACAGCAGGTCCGGGGATTTTAGGATATGTGCAGCCAGCGGCTCTATGGATAAGTCGAAGAACAAGGGGGAGTGAGGGCACCCCTGTCGCGTACCCTTCTCCAAAATGAGAGGCCTGGACAAGGCCGCCTGTGTCAGAACCCTTGCTACCGGGGAGGTGTACATTTGTCTGAGAAAGGTCATGACTCGTCCCTGGAACCCAAACTTCGTCAGCACCAGGAACCGCCAATGCAGGCTGACATTGTCAAATGCCTTCTCGGCATCCAGAGTGATTATGGCTGAGTTCTCTCAAGGGTTGGCCCGTGCAATTTCCAATGCCATCAAGACCTTATGTAAATTAGTTACTCCAGATCGACCCTTGACAAAACCGACCTGCGTTGGCTGCACCAGGGAAGGCAGTATATTCGCCAAGCGGCAGGCTACGATCTTGGACAGGATTTTAGCATCCACATTCAGTAAAGAGATGGGCCTATAGGAGAATTAATCAAGGAGCGGAGGGAATCCACCACCACCAATTGCAGTAGATTATAAAATTCGGCCGTGTAGCCATCAGGGCTTGGGGCCTTGCCCATGCCCATACTTTTGATACCTGACGATATTTCCTGAAACGTGAAATGTCTGCATTCAGCGAGGAGAGCTGGTGTGGGGACAGGTGCGGAAGACCCATCAAGTCGAGAAATCGTTCCGCTGCCACACCGTCAAACTCATCTTTGGAGTACAGAGACCTATAGAAATCTTCTAAAATCCGGTCTTTGGGCAAGGGATCCTGTTCTAAGAGCCCCGAGGGATGTTTAAGGAACGGAGTATGACTGGGGCAAAATCTCCCCTTCACTAGATGCGCCATCAGTTTGCCCGCCTTGTTGCCATATTTGTGAATTGAGAGATTTAGGTGGGCAGAATGAATTGCATCCTGTCTCCGGGCCCAGAAATTAAACTGTTGTTTGGCGTTCTCCCATGTTTGCCTGTTATGGGGGGTGGCGCTAGACAAAAGGGCCATCTTGGCACTACTTAAATCGGGCACTAGCCAATCTATAGGAGCGTATCGTGTTCCTTTTATATGCCGACACATAGGAGATAATTCTCCCTCTCAGGTACGCCTTAGCCGTCTCCCAGAAATGACCAGAGTGGTAGCATGTTGTTGATTAAAGGAGACATAATCCCTCCACGAGGCCACCAGGAAGTGGCGAAAGTTCTCGTTGGCATGCAGGAATGCTGGAAACCGCCACATGTAAACTTTTGAAGTGCGTGAGGCAACTTCAATTGACAAGGCAATAGGGGCGTGATCCGAAAATTACCACATCATGTATCTCTAAATGTCTCGCCTTAGGCAACAGTTCAGGAGTACAGAAACAATAGTCCAAGCGCGCCAGACAGTCATGTATCGGAGAAAAATGGCTAAAGTCAGCATCCACAGGAAGGGCCAACTGCCAGATATCATGCAAATTGAGAGCCTATGCCATAGTGGCCAAAGATGACTGCCTGGCCAACTCAGGTGTCAGGGTACCAGGGGTCTTACCACTCCTCGGGGTCGCCATGTGTGGCAGAGGGCACAGGTTCTCCTTCCTGGCAGGACCCCTGGCGCCAGGGTTGCGGGTGCGCATGCGTGCATAGTGCGCCTGCGCCCATTACTGGTGTCAGGTGTGGGCCTTGCTAGGGGAGGTTCCCAGCACACACCCTCTGCCTTTCTCTTGCCATTGGCTCGTGGATGGAGCTTCCTGGTTGCCTCGGTAACCGGGGGTGGTCTAAATTCCCCACTGGGTATAAAAGCCCAGTCAGAGCCCTGGCTCATTGCTGATTTATTCCACCTATATGGTGCATCGCCTAGCCTCCTGTGTTTTCTGCTGCTGCTATTTCCTAACCCCTCGTCTGACTTCCTGTTGCTGACTTTTTGGCCTGCCTTCCCGTGCTTGAACCCAGCTGCCTGCCTCGACCCAGACCGGACTTTGACTTCGCCTTTGGATTGTCCCTTTGTACCTCGCCTTCGGACTAGGGCCCGTTCCTGCCAGTGGGTTCCGCTTCCCAGCCCATGCCGATGATTACCTCCTGATATCAGGCTCCCTTGTTTTGGGCACAGTGGCCGAGATCCATCTCCTGTCTCCCAACAGTGACATAGGGGAATTTGAAGTCTCCCCCAATCAAATGAAGAGGCGTAGTACATTTTGACAACCAGTGCATTAGGGTTTTAAAGTCCGATTTGGAGGGTGAATTTTGAAGATAGACATTTGTGTCTGGAGGCCCCTATGTCTAAGGTCACAGTCAGGCATCTCCCCTCCGAGTCCTTCTCTTTGCTTGAAACATTACATTGAAAGCATTTATGAATTAAAATAACTACCCCCGCTTTTCTACCGTCCGATGGCGAACCTAGCACCTCCCCCACCCAGGATTTACGTAGTCTGTGGAAGTCGTCCTCCCTCAAGTGTGTATCCTGTAATAGGGCTATGTCTGTGCGCATTCTCTTGAGCTGTCTGAGAACCTGGTTGCGCTTCTGGGGGGAGCGAAGGCCCTTAACATTCCACGATACAACTTTAATGTTATAGAGGTCGTCTGATGTCTAATTCGTTGACCAATAAGATAGTTAGCAAATTGTCTGGCACTAGATAGGTGTCAATCCCCCCTCCCCAGTCCCGCCAAATCACTCCCCAGCAGTGAGGAAGAATAGATGTAGGGTGGAGGGGAGCTATGAATATGATGGAAAGGAGATGTTATGCACAATCAAGTAATACTTGGAAGTAGATGACCCAACTTAGCTTAACTATAAACAACATTAAGAACCAAAACCAATTGACTTCGGTATATCCCGCGTCATGCGTTATGGGGAAAGCGCTCACGTGTCCATGTCCACCACAGCAATGCATGATATGATATACCACAGCCTTCAGCAGTACCCAAGAGTGAAAAAATAGCTTAGTGTAACTGGAGGGCATAGAATAAACCATACTTAAGCCTTGCTCACACATTGCTTGGGAACCAAGTGCCTTTGAGCTAAGTGGCGTTAAAAATTTGGATTTGTGCTGTTTGGGATATATTGAGTGCTGAGTGCTTGGTTTTTTGAATACTTGTTGTCTCTGCTTCTTTTTTAGGCCCTTTTTAGTATTTAAAAACCCTTTTTCATTTTCTGTCAGTTTTTAAACTGGTCCTTTTTTTTCTCTCAGGTTTGCAGCTCCCTGGTTAGGGGGAGGGGTTAATTGATCTCAGGTGTCTCTCATTTAAGCAGGTGTATTATAAGCTAGTGCACCACTCACTTTGAGCTTGCTCACACAGGGCTTGGGAACAAAGTGACTGTAAGCTAAGTGGCGTTAAAAAATTGGATTTGTGCTGTTTGGGATATACTGAGTGCTTAGTGCTTGGTTTTTGGAATACTTGTTGTCTCTGCTTCTTTTTTAGACCCTTTTTAGTATTTAAAAACCCTTTTTCCTTTTCTGCCAGTTTTTAAACTGGTCTTTTTTTTTTTCTTCTCAGGTTTGCAGCTCTCTGGTTAGGGGGAGGGGTTAATTGATCTCGGGTGTCTCTCATTTAGGCCTTGTTCACACCAAATGCACAGCAGATCTGCATGAGTTTCTGCACATGCAGTGCAGTGGGTTTTTGCCACATTTTTGTGCGTTCCAGGGCGTTTCCATGCCTTTGCATGCGTTTCAGAGCAGGTAAAATAGGGCCTGCTGCCGTTTTTTTACCTGCTCTGGAACGGAACGCTGCAATGTGAACTGGAGCTAAAAATACCATTGTAATACATTGGACGCAGTTTTGCTCCGGTCTGTAACTGCTCTGCTCTGCTCCTGGAACGCGCTTGGTGTGAACAAGGCCTTAAGCAGGTGTATTATAAGCTAGTGCACAACTCACATTGAGCTTGCTCACACAGGGCTTGGGAACAAAGTGCTTGTGAGCTTAGTGGCGTTAAAAAATTGGCATTTGGACAATTGAGGTTTAAACTGTAAGTAATATCTTTATTTTCATATCAATTATATAAACATTGCAAATGGCATCGAGTTTGTTAGCATGGTTGAAGGGTTTGTTCAGTGCACACTGTGCCACATGTATGCACAAATGGAGCCACAGCTCCAGGGTGAATACTGCTGTGACAGATGTGAGCAGATTGCACTGGAAGAGCGGAATGCAACACTGAGGAGACTTGACAACCTTGAGAGGAGTCTGCTGATCCCTGAGCAGGCAGTTAATGGGGTTGATTTGGAAGGTGGAGGGGTGAGGATGATCAGGTAGGAAGATGGGTTACTGTAGCTAGAGGGAGTGGCAGGGGCTCACAGAAGAGGAAGGCCAGCCCTGGGTTTGTGCACCCAAACAAATTTGCTAAGTTGGGTGAAGATGTGCGGGTGGCAGACTCAGAATTGGCAGCCCTAGATGTCACTGCTACCCCCTAACAGCCGGGAGAGCCGCACATCTAGTCCGGGTGGTGAGGGTAATGCAGGAAGGCCTAGACAGGTTGTGGTAATAGGGCATTCTATAATTCAGAGGACTGGATGGTTTTCTGTCTCCCTGGTGCCAGAGTTCGGCATGTGGTGGACCGGGTGGACAAATTACTGGGAGGGGCTGGGCGTGACCCAGCTGTCTTGGTTCAATGTGGGGACGCATGACAGAATACATGGAAGATGGAGGATCCTTAAAAATCAATTTTAAAAACTAGGTTGCAAGCTGAAGGGAAGGACCTCCAAGGTAATATTCTCTGGAATATTGCCTGTGCCATGCGCAACGCAGGACAGACAGCGGGAGCAAAGGGAACTAAATGCATGGCTGAAGACCTGGTGTAGGAGGGAAGGCTTTGGGTTTCTAGAGCACTGGGCCGACTTTTCATTGGGGTACAACCTATATGCTAAAGATGGTCTGCACCTAAATGGAAGGGGGTCTGCTGTGCTTAGGTAGAGGTGCATGGGAGGGTTGGAGGAGTATTTAAACTAGGATTAAGGGGGAGGGAAAGATGGAATATAATGGGGCAGATATGTCAAACAGAGGTCAGGCTTTACTGGAGGGTGGATCCTTTGGTGCATGGGGAGAACTATGACATAATTGGTATTGCTAAATCTTGGCTTGGTTCTTCACATGATTGGGCTGTTAATATTCCTGGCTATACTCTCTTTCGGAGAGAAAGGGTTAACCGAAATGGTGGCGGGGTTTGTCTCTATGTGAGAAGTGATCTAAAATTGAGTGTGAAAGAGGACTTTAGTGATGTCGTG